TCTAAATTGGGTGGCCGGCGGCGGGGATGCGCTCGCGTGGACGAGCAGTGTGCGTATTTCGAGCGAGGCCATTTTGAATTACTGCGACGGCCCGGTATGCGGCGACGTGGATATTGAGGCTTGTTGCATGATGTACGATCTGCTACCCGTTTTCCATGAGGAAATTGGAACAGAACAGGCTGGTAGTGGTCCAGCTCCTTCTCCATCTCCTGCTGTGTCCCTTGAGCAAGATGGAACTGATAGTGCACATGACCAAGCGGACCACTCCAAGTCGTCCTCCGCTCTTCTTACAAAAGACCACGAGGATAATGGGAAGAGTGAAGATGCCCCCGTCGATCCGACCGCACCCACTGCGGACCACTTCTACTACTTTTGCGACGACCGCGGAACTATGCACTGCAAAAGCATCGTACTCGTATAAATGCATTACAAATTTCCTCAGCATGAGAAATAAAAATTTGTCATGCGGATCACCTTTGGAAAAAAATTTGTAATGCATGACTGCAATTGCTACGATTACGATACTTTTGCAGAGCATAGGAACGCCGAATTTCTACATGAGCCAGGCCGGCGCCCAGGAGGCGTGCAATGAGTACGGCACGAGGTGTCACGGGTACTATGCATTGCAAATATGTCTGTGTCTGGAAGAGTGCAACTTGTGATGCTGACTTGGGATTCTACACAAATCTGTATTGTGTGAGGAGCAAGAGGATACAATTTCCAGTTTTTGCTACGGGCATGGGCATCAAGCAGCCCTCACAAAATCTGTGATGCTAGGGCATCCATCACAGAAATCGTGGGTCATGCAAGACGTGCATGACAAGGCTTGCAATCTTCCAGAGGTGGACCCAGACATATTTCAAATTGATAGGTACCAGCACGACGCCATCTTCGACGAGCTGAAATCAAAGCCGGCTTCTAGCGCGCTCGGACAGTGGTCTTTGTTATTGACGTACGACCCAGACCTGACAAGGGAGAACATCACGGATTTACCTAACCTTATCCCACGAAAAAACTGTTTCACTGTGATGACTTTGCAAGATCACAAGTTTGCTACGCATGACACTGAAAATCTGTCATGCGGGGTTCCCAAGGGAAAACACACCTAGAAATCAACTGTCTTGCATGTGTAGCATGACACACACTTCTGCGATCCATTTTCTGCATCACAAGTTCACAGTGAGACAGTTTTTTCTTGCGATAAACCTGCCGGTGAGTAACATCGAGTATCACGTTGATTGCGCCAAAATCTACTACGATACGAGCATATCAACTGCAAATATGTCTGGGTCTGAAAGATTGCAGGAGTTTGTCATGCATCTTCTGGATCACGCAACTGGTCTCTAAGGCACGCAAAAGCATTACAGGTTTTGCGCAGGCCTCCTGATGTCTATCCCGCATGATCTGGTAACCAAAGCGCTCTTTGCGAGATGCTCATCCATCGCAAACGCAGCGCGAAGGCTTTGCCGTTACCATATGGGAGGAACTCGGGGGTATGCAACCACTGGCAAAATCGGGCATTATCAAGTGTGTTCTGCCTTCAGAAAGCGGATCGGGGAAAAGTTGTGGGAATTTCATCGAAAGCAGCCAAAACAGCAATTATCAAGTGGGAAAAGGGTAAAAAAGAGTACTTTTGCAGCTCCGCCCGGTCTGAATCTGAAAAAAGAGCGCGGCGTTTTCGGCTAGGGCCGATGGTGTGAAGGGTTTTCTAGCGGAAAACGCGTCACCTCCGGGCAGCTCCAGCCGCTTGAAAATTGAAAAAAAGCGTTGAAAAAATGCAATTTTTCGCAGCATACAAGCGGCCGACAAAATTTACCGATTTTCTCCAGTCCTAGGAAGCCGCTTGG